CAGCTCAGCTCGGGCACAGTGTCACTGGCCCATGTGGGAATTGAACTGGCGGCCCTGTTGCTCAGAGCTCGCGCTCTTAAGCCAACTCTTAACCAACTGAGCCACTTGGCCGGCCCTCACGGTACTCTTAATATGCTATTATTTCATCTCTAAGCCTTCAGACTTTATGGCTTTCTGGGAGTTTATTGAGCTCCAGAACATATTTGCATAAAATTAGTTGCTAGAAATATCCATTAATGCATTGGAGAGCTATTAATATTAAATAATATCATGAACATATGTTTTTAAAAGTTCACTATAACAATTTAATTGACATGTTACATTTCTGAGCAGCTGAAGACTGATTTTTCTTACCTATTTCTGCATAGCAAAATTTCTACAAGTCTGAGTATAGTCTTAGTCACATTCTGACACTGAAATTGGATTCACTTTATTAAGACTGTATCTTTGTTGTTCTTTTTCTAAATTTGGATTATGCCTTGTAGATTTTTTTCAATGGATTTTCCCATTTCTCAAAAATATTACTGGTGAATTTATGCACTGACTTTTTTTTTTTAAGCCCGGTGATACCAGCTTTTCTTCTTTCTACTCTAGTTGGATGGTTAGGAGTTTTTTGTTGTTTTTTTTTTTTTTAGCTGAGCCATCCTGCTACCTTTTGGCAGCTCAGCGACTGCTCAGCTCGGGCTGGACTCGTACCGCTGTTGCTCAGAGCTGAAACTCTTGAGCGAGCTCTTAACCAACTGAACCACTCGGCCGGCCCTGGATGGTTAGGAGTTTTGACCTGGCCTTTAAAAAATATCTGTGTCATTATAAGCAGTGGCTTAAGTAATACATTATATCTTTTAACAACAGCTTTGCTGAGTACTGTACACATCATGAAAGAATTTAGATGTAACCAGGTATCTAAGCAAATTTCTGTTGCCAACAAATATGGTTGCCAGTTGAGAGTTTCATTAGATCCACTTGAGAAGAAATTGTTTGACTCTGCATTCCATTTAGTTTTTTTTTTTAAAGCATAAAGTGCATTTTTTGAAACCAGAGGTTTGTTGAAGTCATTTTGTCTTAATGATGTTTTATGGAACTAAACATGGATATTATGAGATACAAACGAATTGTGATTTAGTAATAGGCCTTGTGACATGATTTCTATATATAGAAAATGCCATAAAATCCACCAAAAAACCCAACATGCTAGAGCCAATAAACATAGCAAACTTGCAGAGTGAAAGATCAACACACAAAAATTAGTGTGTTTCTATATTCCAGCATTGAACAAATGAAATTAAGAAAATTTTGTGTATGATAGCATTCAAACATTGCTGAAAGAAAAAAAAGACTTAAATAAATGGAAAGACATCCCATATTCATGGATTGGAAGATTTAATATTGTTAAGATAGTAGTACAGCAAGGTCCATAAATCCAATGCAATCCCTATGAAAATCCCAATGGCCTTTTTTTGCAGAGATGGAAAAGCTGTTCCTCAAATTTATATGGAACTGTAAGGGGCCCCACATAGTCAAAGCAGTATTGAAAAAGAAAATTGAAGTTGGAGGACTCACACTTCTCGATTTCAAAACTTACTACAAAGCTACAGTAATTAAAACAGTGGGGCTCTAGCATAAGAACAGACATGTAGACCAACGGAGTGGAATTGAGAGTCCAGAAATAAACCCAAGCACCTGGCCAGGTGATTCTCAACAAAGGAGCCAAGGCGAGTCAATGGAGAAAGAATATTCTCTTCAACAGATGGTACTGGCCAACTGGTTAACCACATGCAAAAGGATGACGTTGGCTTCTACAACATGAATGAACCTTGAAAACATTATGCTAAGTGAAAGAAGCCAGACACAAAAGGCCAAATGTACACAATATGTCTAGAATAGGCACGCACCACGCACATTCACAGGGTCAGAAAATAGACTGGTGGTTGCCAGGGCTTGGGAGTTAGGAATGAGGAATGATTGATAGGAGGAGGAGGTGCTTTTTTTTTTTTTTTTAAGATAATGCTTTAAAATCAGATAGTGATGAAGGTTGTACAATTCTGTGAGTATACTAAGAAGCACTGAATTGTACACCTTAAAAGTGAATTCTGTGGCATATAAATTGTATCTCAATAAAGCTTTTGTTTTATGAGATGGGAAGGGCCAGGTTATTAGCTCAGGTACACAGCTGTCCTAGAACGCTCTCTTATTACAGGACCATATTCAACACTATAATTAACACTTTCTTCCCCTAAGAACCTCTCTTACCCTGTGATCCAGAGGTTCAGTGTAGATTATTTGTTTGCAAACAGTGATACTTGTAATGGTTCCTTATTGCTAATCTAACTCGGTAATCCCACATTATGGCCACCAGTTTCTAGTTACACTTTTAAGTTTTATTTAAATAAAACTTATTCATCTGAAATATTTGGATCAGAGGAAATTTGCCATCTAGATCCCTTTGGGCTACCCTGGGGTTTTTTCTGTCTCTGTTCATTTTTTTTTAATTACATTGATGAAAAAATACTAAGTTCTTCTGAAGTCAGAGATCATAAATGTCCTTTACTCTGTGATCTTAGTAAGTCATGTGTTATTTTAAATTAGTAAGTCCTCTATCAGAGGTCAGGAGAATAAATGGCTAATGGGTTCTCCCAGCTGAAATTCAATCTTAAATTGTTTCCATGTGCAGCTTTCAATTAAACCTCTTCTCAAAGGTACCACTCACTGTCTGATAGCATAGTGAAATCCAGCTCTTATTTGCTTTTTATATGTTTCACATTTGGAGTGAAGAATATTTTATCTTATGCTAGAGTAAATAATACTATTCATGTTTATTTTCCTCTCTACAAACACTGGTTTTTAAAAGTTAAATTTAAGACCAGGTAACTGTGTCTTTTTGTCAATAATGAACGGATTCCCTTTTCTAAAATAGAAGGTGTGGGTTTTCATATGGAATAATAACCATAAGAGTGGACAGAAGATGTATATACTATAATGGAAATTGGGAGTGTCACTCAGTTACAAGGCTTCTACTGCCCGCCATACTGTTTCTTAATCTAATGACATCGCGTCATAGAGCCATTGTCTCTGAAGCCAAGGCTCATTCACCCCAGATGTATTATTAGACCCACTAGGTAACATCACAGGTGCTTGGGGAGTGAATACCAGGGCTGCAGAGCTGCCCTGAACTGAAGACTGCATTCTGTGACCTCTGCCAGGTGCTTTCATTAGAAAGCCTTAGAGTCTAGAATTCTAGAATGTTTGCTGTCTTTCTCGGATTTCTGAGAGGTATCTGGGACTTAGAGTTCCCCTATCCTTCCATTAAGTTTTCTTCTGAGATATCCTGAATACATATCCCTTTCTTATATTGGGGTCCTCTATTTTGACTCCCTGTGTGCTGCTTTCTGGAGAGGTTAACTCAGTGAACTGACTGATTTGTACTTCGCTGTATGTATGTTACACTTCAGGAATTTATTTTTTAAAAGTACATATAAGAAACCATACACAGATATCCTCTACCACGTAGAACTAGTGTAGCATTCAGGAAGAGACTTTTCATTTAATGACTTGCCTTAATTAGTGTTTGAGTTTTTTTAGAAGAAACATATTTTCTTTGACAAATAAAGGGCTAGTTTTACAGAAAGAATTATACTGAGACAACTAGAGTTTGATGAGAAGACGAGATAATCTCTCAAGGTTAGGATTTTGGAGTTCAAATCCCGACTGTCCTTTCCCGGCACCCCACCTGCCGCCTGTCCATTCCTCACACAGCATCTCCTCCTCACAGCTTCCATTTTTTCTTACTGTGTCTGCACAGCAGTCCACTCTGGGGACACTCTCCTTCTTGCATCTAAGAAGCGTCTCAACGCAGACGTCTCATCGTTTCTGGTAGTGTGATAATGGAAAGAGTGCGTACTGAACTATGAAAGGAGAGATGACAAATTGTGGCCAGCCTGGCAAATCCAGGGTGCATATTCCTTTCCCTACCAAGCATAACATACTTTGATGAATTCTACCCCTTGTCCTGAATTCCTGCTATTCACAACCCATTATTCATGGTCAGCCTGATGTCTTTGCTCAAAAAGCAGCTCTTTCCACAGCTGTACTGTGGTCTGATCAGAGTGAACACACTAGACACGAACACTCCCACCAGAGGATAACGAAGCCATGATTGTTTTTAGAAAAGTAAAGTACTAGGCATGCCTGCATCCTACTGACTCTGACTAACCTCTGCTCTGTCTCACATATTTCAGGCTTTAAAGGAGATAGATGAAGTTGGGGACCTGTTACAGCTGAAGTATTCCCGTCATCGGTTGGTACCTCTACTGGACAGGCCCTTTGACGAGACTACGTATGAAGAAACAGAAGACTGAGCCTTTTTGGTGCTCCCTCAGAGGAACTCTCCCTCGCCCAGGACAGTGTGTGGTCTTTCTGAGCCAGTTCCAGGAACCGCACTTGAGTGGCCATCTCATGTGAAAGACATTTCCTCAACTATTGATGGTGGCCACCTCCACTCTAAATGGCATTTTGTAAATAGTAAAAAACTGCTTTACGTCTTTTCTTTGCTACATTTCACCTTTTTTAAAGAAAGGTGACTCACTTTGCTTTTTTGTCCATTAAAAAAATGTTTTATTTTATAACTATTCTACTTGTGAAATCACGGTGACCCGAGCCTGTTGGGTAACCACACAGGCCATTGCCCTCCCCCAGCCGCGGGCCCATCCAAAGCCCCTGCTGGCCCCGGCACTACAGCCTCAAGACTCACCTGCCCACCTCCCTAGGGAGCAAGTGCCTTCCACTTACTTCCGCTCCAGATCTCAGAGGTTGCAACCTTGGAATCCTTATTTAACCAGTCAAGGAATCAACCAAAGTTCTCTCTTTAGTCTTAAGTTTAGCCTTGTAAGGACTACAGTAAATGCGAACACTGCTGAATTTCCCCTTGCTGTGTGACTCCCTCTGCTCAGGACTCTCCCAAGGCTTGGGCTTGTTCCATTTCGTTCTGGTCACCAGACGATTCCTTCCTTCACCATCAACTGTTTCTTCATGCTGGTCACCATCTGAGGGGGGATCCGGTTTCTGGTTCTTCCCAAGCCCTAACCTAATACTCCTGCCCCATGTTCAGAGCACTTCTGTTGTTTTACAAGCACCCACGGCCCGCCCCGGTCAGCCCTCCATGGTGAAGTGACTCAAACCCCAATGGTCTGAGCACACATCTGCTGTCTAGAGCAGCGTGCACCCTCGCTGGCGTGAGGGGCAGGGGCGGCGCGGGAGGATTGATCACTACTCCCAGAATGTCTGTGGTTTGCTTCTTACTGCTTTTACTTTTCAAAACGATGACCGCCTCTGCCTGCGTCTGGGTCCAGATTAGGATTTAAACTGATAAAGGAAGACCACAGTAAATCCTCTGCTCAGAAATCATTTGTCGTGTTCCTATTTTAGGATTAAGGTTATTAATTTACCCTTTGTAGAAGCTGACCATGTACATATTAGTCTTCTGAGCGCTAGTTCTCTTTATTGTTGACGTCCTAAGACAATTCTAACCTGACATCTGGGACTTAGTGGCTCCCTGGCCTTCCGTTATCTTTTATTTTTTTTGTAAGAAATTTTGAACACACATTTCTTGGCTAAACTGGGATCCTGTATTTTGACTTTGTTTTCATACCAGGTAAGGGGACTTCTTTCAGAGAGCTTTATACTGCTTGACCAAAGAACAAATCTGAAAATCACCGTGTTTAGAGTTCTTTTGTTTTCTGTTGACCAAAGTGAAAAGAACTTTTGACTGTTAATATTCAAGATCAGCTTGTCTTTTAGTAGCCATCAGGTATTACAGGGCAGGGCTGGGAACAGAATGGAAAAGAATTGTGTGAAAGTAGTTTTGCATGTCTCTCTGTTTGAAATCACTCCTTTTATTGGTAAGAATTCTCAGTCCAGATTCTCGTGGGTTTGGGCCCATCTTGTCATCGGCTGTGGTTATGTTGGTACAGATACATGTAGTGGAGGATGCAAGCATTGTTGTTGGTAAAGTTTTGTTGTCATGTCTCAAGTTACCTTTGGTCACGCTGTCAGCAGCTGAGAGCCTTAAGCCCTTGAAATATTCCAAGGTTTCATTTAAAGAACCAAATTGATATGCAGGGACTACATTTAGCATGGACAAGTTGCATTAAGGAAGAAATTGTGGTCACTACTCCTGTAAAATGAAGGCCATTGCTAACCTTCCTTGCACACCGAGTTCCTCACCATAGAACCCCATTTGGATGCCAGGGAGTTTTTACACTGCAGTTACTCCTTAATGGCGTAGGGTTTGCAAAAGTCACAAACTTTAAGCAATGAACTTAACCACTAGCCTTTTTATTTTGGCTTGCATGACATCATTGCAATATAAAATACCAGTTAGTATTTTTTTAAAATATAGTATCACTTTGCTAGCGCAAAGTTATTTCAGGATAAATGTAGCTAAATTACAAGTTTATTTTGAAGAGACAAAACTCCTGTGATCTATCCAGGACCTCTATTTTCTAGAGGACAAAGCATAACATGCTGGTTGTCTGTCTTAAAACTGTAATATAAATCTAGGATCCAGTCATATCACAAGTATTATTTCTTTAAGCACTTAGGGAAATACAAGTGTATATAAACACAGTCCTTGGTAATGAGTGGAAATCGCGACTATATAAGTATAGTTGCATACGTGGTTTGACACAGCCTGATTGAAGAATTGAATGGGATTCAGAGAGGTATCAGCTAACGTTTACTACCGAAGCTGATAACCAGAGTCAGTCAGTAGAGGTGTGACTAATTCTTACCCCTTCTCATCCCTCTGTTTAGCACTGCCTTTTTCCATTGCAGGTTTATAAGACCTTTTTCTGCAGATCACATCAGAAATCAAGAAATTTATAACTTGGGGACATCAAAATCACACCCACAGAATGGAGCAAGTGGCAGTCGCAGGTTATCCTCCCCCCTTTGTTTTGAAAACTTGACCCTAGAGTATGGTATACCTTCTAGAGCAAGTAAATATTTAAATAAAATGTTCAGGGGCTTTGGAGCACTTTAACTTCTTACTTTGGAAATTTCCTTCTCTTTAAAAAGCATTCTAGCCTCCAGAACCCCAAAGTACTGCTTGCTTGTTTGAACAACTCTGAATCTTCGTCCTTGATTCACTTTCTTAACCTTCCATATAGGGAGATTTCAGATGGTCAAAACACGCTTCTTCATGTAGTCATGTAAGGTGAACAGAAATATCCCCAACTCCTGAGGGCTGTGTGTCGGCCTAATGCCCTTTCAGAGGCCAAGGAATTGAATATCCCAATGAATTGTCTCTATAATCCCTCCCTCCTGGATTTGGCTTTTTTTCCTGCATCTTCCAGTTCTTGATTTTTAGAATTCCAGCTACAGGGAAGACTGATCTATGGTGGTGCTGTGTTTGGAGGATCTCCAAATCAGATACCCTGTCCTTGTACACTCAGCCTTACATTTCCGGAGGAGACAGGGAACTTCTTCCCTACTTGAGGGAGCCTGTGGCTAAGTTTCTTAGGACTAGTACAGTCTGGCTGAACTTTGTAGTGTGAAACACACTTTACTTCCTTTTAGTGAAAACCAGGAGGAAAACTGTCTTACATGGAGAGATTTCCTGGCTTCTCAGGGAACGGGGACAAGGTGAGCTATCACTACCCTGTTTCTCTCTACATCGTCCCTTTCCAAATTGATGAGGATCTCTGATCCCTAGTCACGCACTGCCACACAGGCAGTGAAGAAAGAGAATTTGGGTAATTCTTGTAAGAATTCATAGGAATGTGGCAAAATCACCTAGAGAAAGCTAAAGACAATTGACTCTTTCTGGTGCAAAGAATGGTTGTGACCTAGTTCCCAAGGTGTCTTTCCTTTCCTGCTGTTCTAGGTAAGCCACAATGGGTTTTAATCTCTGCTTGCTATAAATTCGTGTGGTTAGGAAGGGAGAGCAGTGGTTTTCCTCCTGTCTACCTTCATGAAGATCAGGAACTGCGGAGCATTTCACACAGATAAAATCAGTGTAGTCCAAAGGAGCTGTGAAGGGGGCATTATGAAAATCAAAGGATTCTTCTTGGCTGTTGGGCAGCTGTTGGCCTCCATGCAGCTCCAGAACCTGTAAGTGTGCTGCTACATGGGAACTCAGTGCCCGGCAGCCATCTTCATCCATTAAGCCAGTTCTCTCCTCAGCTTTATCCTCATGAACTGTAGTGTCCAGGCCCCTAGCCAACTGCTGTGTGCCCAGATTAGAATTAGAAGGCTGAATTAGAAGGCTGGCTTCCTGCCTTATCATACAGAAGAAATGCTAGGACTAACCAAGGATCCCTTTGCTTTTAACTGTATAGAAAATTCTGTTGCCCCTTTTGTCGCTTCCAGTGACCTATTTTCCAAGCATGGATTGAGTCTTTCCTAGGGAGAAAACCAAAGGGGTTAGCTGGAGCCCTTTATATTTATTCTAGTCCACTGTGGTGAGTCTGCAGGTATCACATTCCCAGTCCACCCTTGGGGGTGGCTTGGGGGTGGAGGGTGGCTGTGGGCAAGGTTTTGCTTGCTACGCAGTACACATGATACATGGCCTATAACTGTGATTCTTTGTGCTGTGATGAGTTACACTAAACTGACCCTAAAGAATGCAGTGGCTCTTTAACTGCAGTTACTGTGTTTTTAATGAAGCAGTACCCAAAGTTGTTCTTCTGGAGCAGTTGTGGGGAGGTTGAATGAGAGGTAAAAACAAGAGCAGTGTCCTACGTGTCCTGCCTTGTTGCCATCTGCATGGATAAGTGGATCCTTCCATGTGTGAGAGGCCTTGAGTTAACTTAATCTGCTTTTTCCAACACAATTCCCAAGTTGGTTATGCAAAGCTTGGACCCTTTCCGAGGGAGTGTGGGACATGTCACTAAGGTGATGTGGTAATTTGTCTGCACCCTAAACACTAGGTCTTGTTACTTCCGTGATGTTTAACCAATGGTTGGTATGACAAAAAGCATCCTTGATGGTTCTTCACGGGATACTGGTGAAATCACCCTGTTGATTCAGCCAGCATGCCCCCACAGTCTTGATGATCCCTCTCTGTATAAAGATAGCTAACATTAAGAGAAGGGGGAATGAGATAGAATAAGAATAGAGAAATCGCTTAATGGGGCGCTGAGATCTTAATGTGTTGGCCCATTTTTTTCATTGACCAATTTACTTGTAACCTGGAATTTGCAAGAGGTGCTGTGATAACCCCTCTCCATTGCTGTAATGTTCATATAATCTGAGAGAGATGGGGAAATGTCAATAAAAATTGAAGTAATGTATTAAAATGTCTGTCTTTCTCCCTTCCACCCCCCCGCCCTGTCTCTCTTTTATGCCAGTTGATTTTTTTTCCCGTCTTTTTACTTTGTTGGATGACTATGAAGCAGTAAGTAGTGGATCGAGGTAAAGAGCATGATGAAAGATTGTAACCAGTATCTGGTTTAGACAGATGTGATGCAGAAAACTTTTCTAAGGAGTGGAGGAGCTGAAAGAATGCAGTTGATGCTCCCTGAGCAAAGGGGAGAAGGGTAAGGTGGGACTGGTGAGGAGGTGGTAGAGGTGCGCGGCACTGGGCTGCTGTGCTGAGGGGTTTATCTTACACATTGGGGAAAACTAGTGCAAAGTTTAAAGCATTGAAAAAGATAAGCACTTGCTCTTTTGTAGACCTTGACAGGTGATAAAGTTTATATGGAAATGCAAAGGACCTAGAATAGCCAAAACAAAACTTTGGAAAAGAATTTACCCGATTTCAAAACTTTCTACAAAGCTACAGTAACTAAGGCTGTGCAATTGGCATTAGGATAGTCATATTGAATAAAACAGACTAGAGAGTCCAGAAATAGACCCCACATATAAATGGTTAATTGATTTTTGACAAAAGTGTAAAGTTAGTTACATGGGGAAAGTACAGTTAGTCAACTAATGCTGCTGGGATCAATTAAATATTTAGGAGAAATGACCTTTGTCAAAGTAACAGACGTCCAAACCAGTAGAGAATTTTTATGAGTTTATTTGAACCAAACTGCTGAAAGCAAACCCTCAACGGATTGAGAAAATGCTCCAGAGAATGGCAGTTTTGCAGCTTATTCTATACATTAGAATCAAAGGAGGGGACGTATAGTAAGGTATTCAGGGAACAAGGTAACAGGGTTCTGTGGTCTTGAGGGCTGCTGAGTGGCCTGAGGGGTCTGGAAAAGAAGATGATTGACATTTCAAAGGTATGTTATAATCTTAAATGCAAAAAGACAACAGACAGGCGCACTGAAGGTTGAAGATTGACCACAGAACCCCTCACCGTTACCGTTCTCCTCAACAACCGGCTCCATGAGCTGTGAAGGGTAGTTACTATCCTGTACCCACCAATGTAAAAGAAGAGTCTCTCCGTTTTGCTTTTTATCCAATCCCAAAGATTTCCCCACTTTGCTTTCTCCCACCCCCAAACCTTTGGATTTCCTGTAACCCTCCTTACCTCTTCTTTGATTCTAATGTATAAAGTAAGCTGCAAAACTGCCATTCTCTGGAGCATTTTCTCAAATCTGTTGAGATTTTGCTTCCTGGCAATTGCCCTTAGTTTGGCTCAAACTGATAAGATTCTTTACAGGTTTGGACGGTTCTTACGTCAACAATTTCACGTCCTACCCATGAGGGTCCCTGCACGCGTGCCTCGCTGGGGAGAGTGGGCGGTCCCACAACCTCATCAACGATAAAACTAGGTGACCCCCGCCCCCTAATGGAAGGGCAGGACCTTCTGACCACTCTCAGAGGTGGTTAGCGGCTCTTTCTGGGACTTGATCCTCACATGAGTCTCCACGCACTCCTGGTTTTTGAAGTGTTCTGAACACTTCCTTAGGAAATGGGGCGCAGAGTGTGGCAGGTGTTTCTCTGGTCTCCACCTCCAGCAGGGGAGCAGGAACAGCCTGGGGGGCGTTACTTCCAGGCCTTCCTCCCCAAGCAAACCTGCCGGGAGTCATAAATGAACCTTTGCCCAAGACGTTAAAGGCTCCCGCTTGGACTGCGGCGCATCCCATCCGCGAGGAGTGCGGCCCGCAGGAGTCGCAGCGCAGGGCATAAGAGCGCCGGTTGGCTGGCAGCAACTTCCCCCGAACAAGAATTCGCTTAGGGCTGCGGCGGGGACTGAGGGCGGGGAGGGGGTCAGATCAAAGGGAGCGCCGAGGGGCCACCTCTCCCGGAGGCCGGGGAACTTCCCGGGCGCTGACCCCGAGTAGTGTCGCGCGCCCCCGCCCCGCGCGTCCCCGCGGCGGCTGGGTCTCCGGCGCCCCGCGCGCCCCCGCCGCCAGGCCAGCGCCGCAGGCCCCGCGCTCCCGCCCCTGGAGGAGGCGAGGCCGGGCGCCAACAGACTCGCCGGAGCAGGTTGGGAGGCGGGGAGGCGCCGGGTGGAGCGGCCTCGGAGGGAGACGATGCGTCGGCTCCGCGGTAGAGCGAGTCTCCTTGGCAGAGCCGGTCTCCTCAGCGTGGTGCTGCTGACTGTGCTGCTGGCGGCGGGACGGGGGCTCCCCCTAAGGAAGCCGCGGGGTCCCTGGCTCCGGCCCCAGAGACAAACCAGGCTGGCGGAGGTGAGTGGTGGGGCGCAGGGCTGCGTGCGCTGTGTCCTTCTCTTGGCCTCCTGCTCTAGTAGCGTGGGGAGTGGGACTGGGACGCAAACAGTGGCCCCTGGGTACGAGGGCCCAGCGAAGGCCAGGCGCGCAGGGCTTTAGGAGTCCCCACGCCCCCGTCCGTGTAGCGGACCAGCCTGGGGAGAATCTTCACTTAGGTGCGGAGTGCGTGAGGAGCGCAGACACCTAGGAAGGGTCCGGCTTCCTCTTGTTGCCTCGCCCTGAGCGCACCTCTCCTGCAGCCGCACTGCCCAGGTGCGCACTCCGAGGGGGCGCGGGTGGGAGACGAGCCCCGCGCTTTGCCGAGTGGCGGGCTGGGGTTGCAGAGGTTCAGACTGTCATGGTGCAGCCTCTTAAATCAAGCCTGCGAAAGATTTGAGTCCCTTTGGGTGTGAGTCGAGACAAGGTGAGGTAGACAGTGGGGTCCTCCAACTTGCTGCGTGGGAGTAGTCCACCAGGGACCTTTATATTACTCTGAACTTGGAAAAGCAGAAAAGGTCTCTAAGACAACGGAGGGCACTTTCTGGGTGGCCTGTGAGTGGGCCTTCGGGGTGGGTGTAAGACAAGAGTGAGATGGAAAAGTGGTGTTAGCCATGGAGACAAACCGTAGTGTGTCCACACCTGTCTGCTGTCACCAGGGGTCAACAGTCCAGCCGTGCCCCCCCCACATTCATCCCCATGGGGACAAAACCTGCTGGACTTGTTCCAAGGTATGCAGGAGCAGGCCTGTGTGTCCGGGGTCCTGGCTCCTCCTCTGCCCTGAGCTGTTCTTGGAGGCCAGAGTCATTCTTCCCTTTTGGGGGAGGAGGACACTGAGGGCCCCTGACGGGGTGCAGGGTGCAGGAGGATGGTGAGTGAGCGGGCCAAGCTTGGGCCACGCGCTTAGTGCCAGGGCTGCGGAGGCCCTCCAGAGGCAAGGGGACGAAAGGGCCCCGGCTGCACTTTAGGGGGTCTGTGTAGACAAGCGTCTGTCCACTTTTTTTCATTACTGCCCCCCTAAGGAGCCTTTTAGACATCTTTTTTCCCAGTGCTCCCCCATCATGAAATGTTAATAACACAAATATCGTCTGTTTATATACTGCGGCCCTTTGGAGTGTTACAAACCAGGGTAACATCTAAGATATTTTGCTTCCCGGGATACGATTTTTGCGCCTGTTGAGAGTATATCCTGTAACCCGGGTTTCTCCACCTCCACATTACTGTCATTTTAGGTCTTATACTTCTTTGCTGTGCATTGTAGGATGTTTAGCAGCATCCCTCAACTCTTATCTACTAGATGCCTGTGGTACCCCCTTCCTGACAGAGCCAGACATTGCCAAATGTTTCCTGAGGGACACCCCATCCCTGGTGCCGGTGGTTGAGAACCACTGCCGTAGACAAATCCAGAGGAACTGAACAGCCTCTGGCCAGTCCCATGTCCTAGGTGGAGGTGACAGTGGTCATAAAATGAATTAAATTGACACTTTTTTTCTACTCGTTTGGCATAAATACTGTCTATTTTAACGCTTACACTTTGTATTGGAATTATTTTCCTAGGTTTGCCAGATCTTTCCCCAAAACCAGCCTAGAGGATGAGTTGTTTCAGAGCCAAAGTCATATCCCCAGGCCCGGTATAGAGCCTGGCTGAGTTCTCAACAACATGTTAAAGCAAATTGGTGCCATGGAAGAAAACCAGAGCCTGGAGCCCAGGGCATGGGGTTCTGGTCCCAGTGATCATTAACTTGTGTGTGACTTGCCTTGGACAGTTCGTTTAAAATGAAGGGCTAAGGCATCCCCATGGTCTCGTCCAGCCAAACATTGTTCCACAAGTCTGTGTGATGTGAGTTAGAGCTGTTATACACCAAAGGTGTTAGGTAAGGAATTCTTTTTTTTTTTTTTAAGATTTTTATTGGGGAATTGGGAGGATGGGAACAGTGCTGGGGAATTGGGGGAAGGCGAACAGACAAGTTGCTGTCGTTTTTGTTCTTCAGTCTAGTTGTGGAGCACGTTGCTTCACTGGCCCAAGTTGGCACCATCATTGCGCTCTTCCCGGGCGAGGCAGATCAGTCGCCGGCTTCTGTATGGCCGCTCACTGCGGCTGCTGGCTGCTCACGCTGGCTGCTGGCTACATACTATAGCCCATGGCAACCCACTGCCACAGGGGCTGCAGCCTACGCCGTCGCCAGCAACTCACGTCAGCCCAGCTCCAGGTTGAGCTGTTGTTCAGCATCTTAGCTGTGGAGGGCAGTGTCACTGGCCCTCATATGTGGGATCTGAACCGGGGCCCTCTGGGGTCCCAAGCCAGTTCTTAACCATCGCACCACTCGGCCGGCCCATGTAAGGAATTCTTGAGAGAATGCAGACTGCTATTCTAGGGCCTTGGGTGATAGGTCAGAAATAACTGACCAACCCAAAGACCTTTATGAAGAAACTGAGGACCATAAACCCCCCAAGATCTAAAAGTGTAGGATGACTGAGGGGGAGTGAGTGTGCCCGGGCCTTGCAAAGTGGGTACAAAGTTACTGTAGTGATGTTAGTTCATTGTCACACCATTCTGACTTGGGCGTTATTCTCATTTTCCAGATGGGAAAATTGAAGCACGGCGATGTTAAACCTAGCTCGGAGTGGGAGCCAGGTCTGTCATTTCAAGAGCTACACGGGGGACCTTATGGTCTATCTTTGCATGTCATGCTCTGGCTCGCTCATTTAAACCCTTGAAAAGTCTTGAAATCACTAGCATCATGAACAAAATGTGCCTCCCTTTTCTTGGGCAGGCCTGTTGCTTGTGGCGCTTGTGACCGGAGACGCCAAGCACAAGACAGAAATGCAACGCAGAGAGCGGGGAGGAGGACACACAGTGCAGTCTGACCTCGCATCCTTGCCGACTTCAGTCTTTTATTAGAGATAACAGAGGAGCAGGTGGTAGACAATAACAAGCATGTTCCTAAGGCTAAGGGAGAAATGCTTAGCCTAAGAGTTGTTTTTTAGCTCAAGAGGAGCAAAACAGTCTCAAGGACTTTGGCTGAGCACACACAGATGTCAACATGGTAGGCATCCAGCCTCTCTCAGTTAACCCTTAGTTGACCGTCAAACTTGGGCTCAAGGCAGCAACCTTACAATTTTGATTTTGGGGGCTCATGTGGGGGAGTCCCTAACGTGTCCCTACAGTTGCTGAGCCTCAGTTTACTGCCACAGTCAAATGGGAATAAGAGAACCTGTTCTATCTGGTGGCGTACTGGGTGAGAAAGCGCAGTACACACGGGTGGGACTGTCGTTGCAAGGGGCTGGGGCCAGGCAGTTTTGGGGTGTTGGACAGGCCAAGAATGACACAGCTCTGCCTTGGGTGTCTTCTGTTCTAGTCAGAATCAGAATACCACCCAAACGGCCACCGTGCCTAGTGGTTTGTGTTCTTGTCTTGTTATCCTCATTTGAGAGGGGAGGAAACTGACAGTGGATCCAAGAACTAACTGCACAGTTACACAGCTAGTAAGTTGTGAGCCAGGATCCAAACCCAATTTTGCTTCATTCCAGAGCCCTGGGCACCTAGTCCTCACCCCCACCACCTCCTAGGCAGGCAAGGGAAGACCTGGGGGCGGTGGGGGCGGGGGCTGGGGACTTGGGGCCAACTTGGGCCGTGATATTAAGTGTATGTTAGAAGGTGATGGAGAGTAGTAGAATTGAGCAAGAGAAGAACTGAGAGGATAACTCTTCCAGGCAGCTAGGACTGTTACACATGAAGGGGTCCCACGTGAGGCCGAGCTGGGAAACGGCAGCTTGAGTTGACAGGGAAGGAGGCACTTGGTGAGGGGGTGAGCTGAGCGAAGAGCTAAGCGCAGAGGAGGAAGGACCCTCCAAGCCTGGGGGTGTTTCGTCAGCACTCGAGTCCTGGTCCATTGTTCAGCCAGTAGCAGGGACTGGATAGTGAGAGGGGTGTGGTGGGTTGAAAGGTCCCACCTGCCAGGTGGGTGACACCTAGAAGCAGGTATTTTCCTGAAGATCGGCCTTCTTTGGTTGGGGTCTTTCTAGCCCAATCAGTGAGTGTCAGAAGGGGAGCTGGGATCCAGGTGTGCGTGATGCCAGCCCTGTGGCCTTGCCTCTTAGCCTCCTCCTGCAGCTGGGCACCTCTACATACCTTGGCTATGGCCACCGTTCTCCCTCCAGACCCTTTTTTTTGCTCTCATAGTTCAGAACCATTGGAAAGCTGGTTGAGGGACGGAGGGAAGGACAGGAACGGGCCCCTGGAGGCTCTGCTGCTCTTGCTCCCGGGCAAGTCCTCGGCCTCACTGGAGTTCAGGCTCCTAATCCTGTTCCTCTGCTTGGCACCTCCCTGGGCTGTTTGAGGAGTAAAAGAAAAGATGGATGTGAAAAGTGGAACATCCTGTTCTAGTGTTTTGTTCATTCAGAGTGGCAGGCAGTGAACCAGAAGACGCAGCCCCTGCCTGGAGTTGGCAAAGCCCAGGGGTTAAGAGCACAGACTCTCCAGCCAGACCATCTGCCTCAAATCCTGCTCTGCCAGCCCCCTGTGGGATCCTCAGCAAGTTACCTCACCCCTCTGACCCTTGACCGCCTCATCTCTGAAGTGAGGACGATGCTAGCACTTGCCCAAGGGGTTGTCGTGAAGATTCAAGTCAGTGCATATAGGGTGCTGCATAATTTGTGGGGCCCAGTGCAGAGTGAGAATGTGGAGCCTCTGAGCATTTCAAGATGGCGACAGCAGAGCATTAAACCAGGCGCAGGGCTCTGTGCAAGTACACAGGTCACACAGTCTGAGCCAGCCAGCCCTGGTGCTTGGAGGGTATGCTTTGTCAGTGTACTCTTATTACAATGAGAAGCTTTGAGGTCTCCATTGGGGGCCAGGGTGGGCTGGGTGAGACTTACACACAAGTGAGGAGGGTAAAATGCAGCCCCATCTCTCTGCCTGTGGTCCTCAGCCTGGCTGAAGAGGCAGTTGCTGTCGGATGCTGGGTCTCCAGCATCTCCTGGGAGGCCACGGTGACTGTGTGTGCATCCGGGCTCTGTATGGATGGGCCTCTGGGCCTCAGCAGCTGGGGCTGTGGAGAGGGGAGGTGCTGGGCTGCACCTGGCAACTGGATTTCATTACCTGGAACAAGTTCCTGACCCCTGAGGCAGAGAGAAGGGAGAATGGGGGAACTGTGAGGGGGCTGAAACAGGTTAGCAGGCAGGCCCGTGCAATGCAGTAAGGGTTTGAGGGTATGAGGGCTCTCCTGTTAACTGGAAACACATGGATCAGGGCTGCTGGCCAAACCTGGGAGGGTACATGTGGGCACGTGCACGTGCGTGTGTGCGCGCGCGTGTGTGTGTGTGTGTGTGTGTGTGTGTGTGTGAGAGAGAGAGAAAGAGAGAGAGAGACAGAGACAGAGACAGAGACACAGACAGAAAATGGTGGAGATGTATCTTGGTACAGGTATCTCCCACTTTTGGAAAGTTCACATTATGCCCCTTCACTTTTACAAAAGACTCACATTAGTACCTGTTTTCACAAACCAAAAAAAAAATCCAAGAGGATTTTTGCTTTTAGGAAAAAAGAGAAGCGAAAATAGCATTCCACATTGGTTTTGCAGGGAGCTGTGATAGAGGTAGCGAGCACCCAAGCAGTGAGAATGGCACTGCTTTAACTATATGTTAGTGTTATTTTAGGCTTTCTGTGTCATTTGGTAGGTTATTTGGGGGGTCTTGGAAGGCTCAACACTTTTTCCATATACGTTCATGGTCATGTCTTCTTTGCTTTACGCCTTTTCCCCACTCATAGGAACATTTTACTTTCAGATTGTGGCGAAAGCCTATGTATATCTCTACATTTCATATCTGTCTGGGCAATGACACCATCCCCCAAAAGAAATGGAGTTGTTTATCTGTACCTGTGTGACACTCCACACGTGAGCCTAATAGATAGGGGTGGTGTCCTGTGGGGCGGGTAGGTGTTCTTACTCAGAATTCGGTTCAGAACGACATGGAATATACCTGCCCAGAGATCCTGCATCAGGAGTGGTAGGTGGGGTAGGTGGTGTGTGTGTTGGGGTGGGAGGGGGTTCCAGCCAATTAAGATGTAAAGAACTAACAGTGCCTGGTGAGAGGGATGCTATCTTCTCTCTCCCCTCTAAGAACCATCTATCACCAGGTCAAGGTGACCTTCATTGCACACTTGCCATATTTGAGGCATCCTTCTAACTCAACAACCCTACAAGACAGAGACTGCCGTTTCCTAATTTACAGAGGGAGAAACTCAGGCAGATCAAGTAAACTGCCCAAGTTCACACAGCTAGTCAGCACACAAGCTAGGCTTTGAACGCAAGTGCTGTGGCCTCCAGGCTTCACTCGTTACCACTGCATTCAGCTGTCAGACAAAGTAATGAAAGTGGGTGTGCTTGGTGAAGACAAAGGTGGATGCATATGAGGGGTTATCGTCATGAGTGTCCATGCATGCACGTGTGCACCAATGCATGGCGTTGAGATCAGGCAGAGCTGGGTTTGAACCTGAGCTCAGATGTCGTAGCCTTTGAGACC